TAAGGCTGGTCAAAACTGTCTTATATTTTAGAAAATGCATTTTTGATGTAGACTTACCAAAGTTATTTTATATTTTGAATAAATCCTATGTTTTTTCTTTATTTTTACTAGCTTCTATCTGTTTCATTTGAAAGATTTAGTTGACATTTATGGGCATTACAAATAATCTTAAGGTTTTTCAAATAGTCATATGATGCTTTGAAAGCATGATGAAGCCTTGAACCTTGACTACATCAAGAAAATGTCTTCACATTTAAATGGGAGCAGTAGTGCAACGCTCTTTGGGTTGAAATTTGTGGAGGAAAATGGGATTCAGAACTTGTCAATGATTCTATAATCCATGTCATAAGTCTGATGTAGGTTTAAGTCCTGTATCTTAGAAGAATTAGCAGGAAATGTAAGGCACTTTTGTCCTGTTATAAATTAGATTTTTCTTTGTTCCCTTGAGAAGCCAGATTGAACAATAGAATATTCTGAAAGAGAATTGCTGAACACCAAGGCCATGCTTTTGAAAACTAACTATAGGAAGAATAGAGATGGATGCTTGGCCTTCTGAATCAATTAACAGTGAAATCTTGTCATACCATTCAGAATAGAGGCCCAAGTCAAGGTTGACTTTTCCAGCATTCATGGCTTCTAACAGGCTTAGCCTTGCATATTTATAAGACTTTTTTTTTTTTCCCCAGAATAAAACATTCTTACAAAGATAAAAATCTCCATTTCTTAGAAGTGGTCATAAAATAAGGACTAACTTTACTCTTCATGCAGCCATTGGCACTAGGTTCAGGGCTAGATCACTGTAGAACAGTTTGTCTTCCACAGTGGGGGAAAAAAATGTAGGCCACTCGTGTGCTTTTAAGATTTGTTCAACCGAGAAATTCAAAGTTGGTGTGAATGGAGAACGTTAGAAGGTTGCAGGGAGCAGTGAGTAAAAGGGTATGAGTGAATGTAGCATATGTTAAATAATGCAATATGCACACAATGTGTAATTGAAAATGTGAAATAAGGTATTTTAAATATTGTTAAACCTATAGAAAAATGGCAGAGCTTTTATCTGTGTTCTTAAGTATATCTGACTAAAAGCATGAAGTTCTGTTTGGGGCCAAGAAATATTGCAGGATTTCTTAAGAAAATAATTTATTTTGAAATAACTATATGAAATATTTTTTGGCTACCAATTTATATCATAATTTCTGCAATTAGATGGAATACTTTGCATTTTGGTTTCTTTGTGTAGACATTCAAATAAAGATTGTGACTTACAGAAAATAATTGCTTTCAAAATTCTTGGTAATATACAATGACAAAGGCAAACAAAGTATGTTGAATTTTAGTGAGTCAGGATGCCACAATTACTCATTGAGTGTTGAGTCTTTATCAGAAAGAACAATATATTTTCATATTCCTATTGAACAGTAATATTTGTTGAAAATAATTTTCTGAGGTATTTGAGGCTCGTTTTATTATTTTTTTCATCAAAAAAGATTATGTTTTATATCTTGTAAGTACTATGGTCTTAGGGAAGAGGAAGAGACTGAAAATACTGGTTGAGGACAGAAAGGCACAGCCCAACCGCATAAACACTTGGTAATACGAAACAAAAAATCTAACAGTAACTTAACTTTTCTAAGGCACTAGGTTTTCTACACAGTTGTGCCAGAAGAATTACTTAAAAACATCTTCCTAAGTAAAGTCTACTTACTAATTTAGATAAGAGAGAGAGAGAAAGAAAGAAAAAAAAGTGTAGGTAATTATAATGGAACTAGCAGGGCAAGAGGATAGATTCAGGAAATGACATAAACTTCATTTCAGCAGGGCCAATAATCTGCATTAGTTTCAATCTTCTATCATCTGCAGATTACCCAGTCATTTCAGTATTGTGCAGCCTGAGTTATGCTAATGGCATAGAAATGGAGAGAGATGAGACACCAAATGATTCTGGAAAAGCTATTTAATTTTAAAAGGTTAAGCAGATAAAAGTTTGTTCACTTTAGGGACCTAGTTTAAGAAACTAAAATAAGATAGATGTATTAGTCAAATGTAATACATAGAGTGGATCAGGAAAATACAGCCAAATAGCCAAGAGGGGTCTAAAATGCATTCATACTTTCCAGTTGGCTTTGATCCTTTACATTTGTTTTTAATACATTTTTAACTTGTTCAGTATAATTTGAGAAATAATTTCTAATGAAGCAATTTATGTTACTTTGTAGTTTTGGTGTTTTCAGGAACTGGAACAGTATGATTGTTCTCTCTAAACGTCTCTCTCAAATTCTCTGAAGAAAGACTGGAGCTAACTTTGCACTCCCGCAACAGATTCTTTGAATTTGATTTCTTCGGATGTTCAAGTAAAGATAATGAGTAACAGAATAACGATGGCACTAAGAAAATCTTGATACATAGACAAGGGCAAATGGAAGCATCTGTAGCCCTAACCTGGGATTAAGCCTTGCACATCTGACAGAGATACAGTTCCCTTTCTCTCATTTGAATGGAACTTAAAATCCGTTCAGGCGCCTATTACTGTGGATTCTTTATGTCTTTGGCTCATTTGCAGATGAACAAGTTTTGAGAAAAACATTTTGATACCTACTTCATTAATGTCTTATCTGCAAAGGAATTTTCAGATACATAAACTGCAAACTTTAAGACCCATCACCATAATAAGAATATTCTGGGGCGCCTGGGTGGCTCAGTTAAGCATCTGCCTTCAGCTCAGGTCACGATTCCAGGTCCTAGGATGGAGTCCAGCCTCCCGTTCCCTGCTCAGCAGGGAGTTTGCTTCTCCCACTCCCCCTGCTTGTGTTCCCTCTCTTGCTATCTCTCTCTATGTCAAATAAATAAATAAAATCTTAAAAAAAAATTCAGAGCTTGACTCCCCCCCCCAAAGTATAATGAACAATTAGCATATCAAAGCTTGATATTTGGTAGTTGTTATCAAATAAAACTAAGAAAACAATCAGCAGCCTTGAAAACAAATAAAACTTTATTAAAAATAATTAGATACCAGTTGTTGCTTGATGTGAATTAAAGAGTAAAGGAAATTGAAGAGATAGCTAGAGTAGATTGGTGACTAATAAAGTGTATCTGAATCATAAATAAACATGATTATTTGTTCAGTAGAATATTACTGTAAAATTCATGACTGTTTAAAGAAAAGTACAATGTTCCTCTTTTTCTGTGATGTTTTGTATATAACTATAAATATTCATGAATAGTATTAGTTCAGGTTATCCATGTGAATATGAATTTTTATATAATGGGTCACTTAATGTTCATTGGATCATGCTTTTGAATATAAATTCACTAGTATCTCAGACACACCGTGGATCTGACCCAGCTCATGAATATTCACACACACAACTGATCTTTCTTCAAGTAATCACATCCATAAAGATGGAAATCTTGTTAGTTCTCAATAATGAGAAATGCATTTGGATGCCGGTCCCAGGACAATTTCACAATACCCTTGTTTTCTTTCTTTCTTTTTTTTTTTTTTGTAAATGATAAGCTTAAAAGTATAAACACATATGCTGTGCATCTTTCTTGTTAGAAATTCTTTTGTTTCTTTGACCTTTACAGAATATTGGGTGTGATTTAACCTTGACTGCATTTGCCTCCTTCATTTGCTGTGGTCCCAGAAAATAGAAATTAAGCAGTTTCTCCAGTCCTTATCCCACACATATTTCCACTGTTTAGGCTTGACCGTAGATTCTCAAGTGCACAGCGGTCCAGTCTCCTGATCTGCTGGGGGCATGGTACATATATTCCATATAAAGGTGGGGAAAAGATGTGAGATGATGTAGCTCATCCTATTGTGTAAAGGGAAAATAATATTCTAAGCTAAGTAAATGTTCACTGTGTTAGAAATAACATGCTCTGATCACGGAGCCCCATAATGATATACTAAACCCCACCTTATGGTAGCTTCTCTTTCATTATAATGGACGGCAAATGTTTTTAGTACCTATCCAAGTTCAATCAGTAGTTGTAAGTAAGAATCAAAATCTGTGGCCTGGCCTTTAGTAGCCTCATTCTCTAATATTTAATTGAACTAACCAGAGAAAAAGAATCCTTGCTCACAAAGGTAGTAGTAAAGGGGCACCTGGGTGACTCAGTGGGTTAAGCCTCTGCCTTCAGCTCAGGTCATGATCTCAGGGTCCTGGGATCGAGTCCCGCCTGCTTCCCGCCTTCTCTCTCTCTGCCTGCCTCTCTGCCTACTTGTAATCTCTCTTGTCAAATAAGTAAATAAAATCTTAAAAAAAAAAAAAGTAGTAAAGCATCAGCTACTTTGGATTTCTAGCATTGGTATTGTCTAGCCTCTGAATGAATTTTCTTTATCAAGATGTATACATTTGTTGTTATGTAAACACAGTTAACAGACTATGTTAAATGGCAAACATCTTTTTTTTTTTTCATTCCCGTAAGGACCAAATTATGTTAGAGTGTTACAGAGAATCATCAGTAGTTGAAGGAAGTGTGACCATTAAACTCTGTCCTGAGGCGCTCAGTAGGTTTCTTCTTCAGAGCTGAGCTGCTTCAAGGGGAAGTATGCGTCCCCCCACCCCTGCTCAACCGGCAGAGCTGCTATTGCCTGTGCTGTGTATCACAGTGGTTCTCCACAGGGGGCGGTTTTGTTTGTATTCTGACAATGTCAGGGAAACATGGTGCTTATCACAGCTGGTGGGGGTGGGTGGGTGGGGCTGGTTACTGACCTCTAATGAGTAGAGGCCATAGGCACCTCTAAACAATCCACAAAGCACAGAATAGCTCCCACAACAAAGAGTTACCCAGCCCAGATGGTCACCATGGCTTCCATCATATAAAAATTTGTCTGGAGAAATAATTCCTTGTCTAAACCTGTTGACAAGCATCGCGTTAGGGCACTTTCAGAGATAAGCTAATGAAAAGCTGTAACATTATTTGGCAAATAAATGATGGATTCAAATAGTAATAATAAATTGAATTTTTCCTTTTTTTTTTTTTTTTTTCCCCATCAGCAACGATTGTGTTAAATGAACTCAACTGGACAAGTGCCTTAGATGAAGTTTTCAAAAAAAATCGAGAGGAAGATCCTTCATTGCTGTGGCAGGTGTTCGGCAGTGCCACGGGCCTTGCCCGGTATTACCCAGGTAAGTGCTCAATGACTCAGTAGGTATCCAATAAAATGTAAGTACCAGACTTAATATTTCTTTATTTCTAATATCTGTTAGCTTCTCCCATATTGTGAGAAAAAGATATCACGCTACTTTGATGAGGAAAGTGTATTCTTCCTTACATGGTTCTGTATCTACCCAAATCACTTTAAACCACGAGGCCTCAGGCGCAGCTGCCACTCTTGGCGTCTGGAGTCCGGCCAGGCTGCAGTGGTGCCCTGAGCAGGTGTCTGTGTACTTGGGACAGGAGGTTATCATGAATCTTAAAACAATTCTGAGACGAGGGTCCATCTGCTCAGCACGGACAACGTGTTGAATCACAGTAGAGAATGGAATAGAATTTTTAGAAGCTCCCTGAAATATTTCTCCAGATTTCAAGTCAGTGTTGTTTTATCTGAAGAGTGTTGATGCTTTACTTTAATCAGTGAATGGGGATTTGTTCACATGAGTATGATGAGAAATAAAATGAAAATTCAAAGAAAATAGAGCTCGTGTAAGTACCCGGTTGGATTACTTCTGAGGGCATCTTCGTGATGATGTGTATTCAGAGAAGATCAGTGTATTTTACACATTAAAATGAATGAACCCTTTTGTAATATCCTTTATTCTCACAAAGGAGGGTAAGGAGAAATAAATCAGGAACAAAAAAGAAAAGTATATGATGTGTATAGATCCCAAGAACCTGTTGAAAAGACTAAGTGAAATGTCTGCTGGTATTTCTAAATTCACCTTTTAGAGCAGGCTAACAAGCACAAATGCTTTTTGCTTGATCTTTATGGGATGTTAGGTAATTTGGCTTTAAACAATTGTGATATATAGAAGAATTTTTTGTGAGACTGAAGTTTTCTAAGTATTTTTAACAAGTAGAGTTATTCACAATAAAAAGACACACCAGTGAAAATGGGGTGAAATAGGCATTAGCTAATCTGTAGCTTTGTATGGCAATAACATTAAATAGACAATTATGTGGCCCTCAGACTGAATAGCACTCAGATTAGGTAGACATTCTACATGGATGTGAATGCCAGATAGTAAGATCAGTGACAGGTCTTTTGTAGAAACCCAGTGGGCTAGTCAAGACCTACTTTATTTTTCATTGTTGAAAAAAAATCACGAGTTAATAAAATAATGTTAGTATCTATTTAATACGTAATCGAATCCCACATCAAACTCTCTGCTCATGGGGCCCCTGCTTCTCTCTCTCCCTGCTCTGCCTGCTTGTTCTCGCTCTTTCTCTCTCTGTCAAATAAATAGGTAAATTCTTTTAAAAAATAATAAACCTTAAAGTTATTTAGGTTTTTATGTAGTTTATAAAGTTTATAATTTTATAAAGTTATTTAGGTAGTTATATCAGGTCTTACAAAAACATTTCTAAGTGTCATTTTGAGACGTAGTAATTAGACGCTTGGTGACCAATTCAGTAATACACAGATATAAGAATACATCTGTCAATAACTTATAGCATTATATAGCTGTAAAATCTTCTAAAATATATTGCCTTATTACCAATTCCATTTATGAGAAATTGATGGAAAGGTAGAAAAAGAGAGAAAATTGGTGTAACAATGAAAAAACCAAGAGCCCAGTACCAAAGGGAAATTGATGATGCTGAGAAAAACAACAAAGATTCTAAGAGAAATAGGAAGGGGGAACAGAGGGAAGATTGCATTAAGAAGAAAGGAGAGAGAAAACATGGGGTCAAGAGGAGGAAGGAAAGATAGGTTGAGTTACGAGCATTTTTTAAAGATGGTTCTTTTTACAAATAACAGTTAACTTTTAGCCTTATTAATTATCTTCTATATTCTTTTATTTTAAAGGCTAATCAAAGGTAATAGCTTTGATTTTTTTTTCTTAACCCTCTTCATATATTTTTAAATTTGTTGACATTTGTCCACTTTATTTTGGAAAAGATTTTTCAGTGTTTAATTTAGCTGAATCCTTACCTCCATAATATTAGCCGTGGAAGCAACCCTCAGCCTCTCGCGATACTTAATTTTTCAACAAAGGTGTGCCAGAAAGTTGGTTCCCTGGGGACTGATGGCTTGAATTCATTTACCTGTTAGAGGAGGTCATTTAAAATGGTTGTCTTGACTACTATGATATACAGTTGATGTAATTGAAACTTTGGTGATCTTTTCCTAAGTTCTTTTTATTTCATTTTATTTCTGACTACCTTTTGACATACAAAAGCCGTATGTGATGGGTACAACTTGATGAGTTGGGAGATAAGTATACACCCCTGATACCATTGCTACAGTCAGTATTGTAAACCTATCCATGATCTCTAGAAATTTCTTCCCACCGTCTTGTTTATTATTCTTTTTTGTGATAAGAGGGCTAGCAATTATTTAGATGTGTAATATAGTAATTTTAACTAGAGGTATTATGTTAAATAGAAGATCTCTAGGCTTTATTCCTCCTGCATCATTAAAACTTCATATCCTCTGACTAGTACTTTCCCATTTTCCACATGCCCCAGCCCCAGGCAACCACCATTCTACCCCACTTCTGTGACTTTGCTCTTTCAGATTCCTCATGGAAGTGGTATCATGTAGTATTTTTCTTTCTCTGTTTGGCTTATTTCCTTTAGTGTGATATTCTCTGGGTTCATACATGTTGTCACAAATGGCAGAATTTCCTTCCCCACCCTTTTTTGGTTTTGTTTTTGTTTAAAACCTGAATGAATTTCTTTATTACCAATATAATAGAACCAAGTCTCTTTATCAAAGACATTAAGATAATATTAAAATTTGGAACTAAGCCACCATATTTGTGTTGATGCTGACAGGCTTTTTATACATCCAACACTTTTTTCAAGTTTAAAGACTTTTTTTTTTTTTTTTTTTTTTAAAGTGAAGTCATTTTTAAAAATTACTCAGGAAGTCATACTTTTTTCCTCTGATCTTACCATTTTGATACAGGTCAGGATAAGGTAGACTGTCTCATCCCTAATAAGTGTCTGTTGAAGTAAAGGTCAAAAATAGCCTTTAATATTGTTAATTATCTTCCTATGAATGGAAATAGAATATATGTTACTTTTACGTAATTGGATTTTTATATAACAAGATTTATACCTCAGGCTTAGATCTCCCTAGTAGCTGTGAGAAACTGGTTGGATTTTCTAAATTTGCTCAGCCTTGATCATCAAATCTGGAAAACAAAACAAGACAAGAAAACCCACCAACTTCTCAGTTTATTCCCTGAAAGTTGTTACCAATGAGATAATAAACTGTAAAGTACTTTGGAAATAGAAAACAGTAGGCATTTTTACAAGAGTGAGTATCAACTAGAATAATTTTGCCTAAATTCATTTTTGTCTTCATGTGAGAAATTGAAGAACATAATTGAGATTAGAGTCAGTTGACAAGGAAACTGAAATAGCCATCTGTTTATAACCCCTTCCACAATTCTAAGCAGTAATATCTACCAGTTAACACCACATGGTGGAGGTGGTCCAGAGATGAAGGTTTTAGCTTCTGACCTTGGTTAAGACACTTCTCAATGAGGGTTCCAGGTAAAATAAAAGTTGCTCAGTTAAGTGTGAATTTCACACAGACAGCAAAGAATTGTTTAATATAGTTATGCAATATTTGGGAAATATACTAAAAATATCCGATCTTTATCAATATTCAGATTTAACTGGGTGTCCTATATTTCTTTTAGCTAGATCTGTCAACTGTATCTGTCACGCTCTGAGTTTCTGCATTTGTAATACAGGAAAATCAGCTTCCACATTATGTCATAGAATTCTTGTGAGGATCAAACAGAATTTATTATATTAATCTAAGTGTAGAGATTTTATATTTGAAAAAATTCTGTTGGGGCACCTGGGTGGCTCAGTGGGTTAAAGCCTCTGCCTTCAGCTCAGGTCATGGTCTCAGGGTTCTGGGATCGAGCCCCGCATCGGACTCTGCTCAGCAGGGAGCCTGCTTCCTCCTCTCTCTCAGCCTGCCTCTCCACCTACTTGTGATCTCTCAAATAAATAAATAAAACCTTTAAAAAAAAATTCTGTCAACTATCTTTTAAAAATTTTTTGCCACATGGGTGCCTGGGTGGCTCAGTCGGTTAAGTGTCTGCTTTTGGTTCAGGTCATGATCCCAGGGTCCTGGCTGTGTGATAATGGAAAGGACAGCATATTGGGTGAAGAAGAGGTCTTGATGCATGTGAAAAGTTCTATCAGCAGATTTGCTTACTTTGCCTAAGTCATGTTATGTCATATTATACCTGTGAGCCTGTTTCGTCACAAGTTAATTTGGGATGATGGAAGATGATTTCCAGCGCAGACAGTAACATTACCTACTTAAATGTTGAGGCTTCAGTATTTGCGAAGTCCATGGTCTTTGTTGTGGGACAAGAAGTCCTAGGACTAGATTCATGGCATAGCCGAAGCCAGAGCCCATGTCTAGAGCCATCTTCACTGAGTATGTGCTAACTGGAAAATCACTTTAATTTATGAGTGCCTTCCTTTGAAAGCTCTTAAATGATTTGGATAAATGAACTTTAAAGCTATTAAACTGCTTTCAAGAGCTGTCAACTTTGTGAATTTTTACCCATCGTTAAAACAGAGGTACAAATTATTCATTTACCTATTAATATCTCCTGCAAGTGTTTTAATTCCTGCTGTAATTGGGATTGTAATTAGGAATTAGTGGCTCACTGAAATGCCAATGGAAGTAGTACTTACTCTTTTTATCAGATAATTAGTTGTATTTGCAGAAAAAAAACCCAAAAATCTACTTCATTTTCATATGACATTTTCTTAATGTCTTATTAAGCACTTGTTCTTTCTCTGCCCTCCTTCATTTGTTCATTTCAAAACCATGGGATTACAATAAGGTGACCTATTACTTGTTGAGTTAGTGTTAAATATACCTCTGGGAGACAATTCTTTGTTGTTATATCTGCTAAGATTTGCTAGAATAAAATGCAAAAGAACCTGTGTGCAAAGTGTATGAAGTGACATATTTTTTCCTCAT